AGGAGAAGCACTTCCTAGTCCAAGCCCTTCAACCTCACTCGTAGGAGACGCACTTCCTAGTTTGAATCATTCCATTAAGAGACGCACTTCCTAATCTGAACCACCAGTCCTAGGAGACGCACTTCCTAGTCCAAGCCCTTCAACCTCACTCGTAGGAGACGCACTTCCTAGTTTGAATCATTCCATTAGGAGACGCACTTCCTAATCTGAACCACTAGTCCTAGGAGATGCACTTCCTAGTACAAGTCTTTTGACCTTATTCGTAGGAGACGCAATTCCTAGTTTGAGCCATTCCAATAGGAGACGCACTTCTTAATATGAATCATTAATCCTAGAAGATGCAATTCCTAGTCCAAACCTTTCAACCTCATTCGTAGGAGACGCACTCCCTAGTTTGAGCCATTCCAATAGGAGATTCCTAGTCTGAACCATCAATCTTAGGAGACGTACTTCCTAGTACAAGTCCCTCAACCTCACTCATAGGAGACACACTTCCTAGTGCAAGTCCTTCAACCCCACTCGTAGGAGACGCACTTCCTAGCTTGAGTCATTCCAGTAGGAGATGCCCTTCCTAATCTATACCTTTATTCCTAGGAGACGCACTTCCTAATCCAAGTCCTTCAACCTCACTCGTAGGAGACGCACTTCCTAGTCCGAGTCCTTCAACCTCACTCGTAGGAGACACACTTCTTAGCTTGAGTCAACCCTGTTCATTCCAATAAGAGATGCTCTCCCTAAATATGAATCATTAATCCTAGGAGACGCAATTCGTAGTTCGAGTCCTTCAATTTCGTAGTCATTCCAATGCTACCCATGGGAGATGCACCTCCTAGTCTATGTTTTATCCGTTCTACTCCTAAGAGAAACACATTTGATTCGGAGCCTTCTGTAGCTTTATCCAATAACTCACAAAATTTTCTCAGTGCCAAACTGGGGCAGAAAATTTTGTTCGTTTTGTTCGTCTTTGATGGCTTTGCAGGCCCTGCCGTAGAGCAATGTTTGTAACGATCGAAGCTTGCTTGTTCAGTTATTATCAGAAGAAAGAAGTCTTTCGATCAGAGTTTAGTTGGAGTTAACTTTGACAATCTGTCAGTAACCCAGCTTCTGAAGATTCATCATCTCAATTTAAGATCAGGAAAGCAGGCACTAGATTGAGTCATAATCTTTTCTTCAAAGAGCATCAAGATCCAAACTAAGGTCAACACAAACAAGCAAGTCAAGAATCNGGTCCAATTGGGGCTCCCAGGAGATAGTCTAAACGACGTAGTTTTAGATTGAAACTACGTCGTTTTGGTTAAGTAATCAAGATCAAATCCTGGCCACCTATTTTCTTTGATCCAATGGTCCAAAATTGATGTCATTAGAAGTATATAATTTTAGAAAATCTGATTTTTTGGCCTCATTTTCCATACATGACCAAGCCCTAGACCTCTTCTTCTCTCTTCTTCCTCTCCGCCGCCCAGAGCCGCCGCCGGGAATCGCCCACCGGCGGCGGCCAAGCTCCAAACGCCACCAAAATTTCACCCCCTCTTCGTCACTTCCTCCTCTTCCCATATCCAAGCCCCAAATCCCTCGAATCCTTCTCAAACGCCACAAATCTTCAAAAGAACGAAACCCTAGCCGCAACTTTTTGGATAAATTCGAGAATATTGAGCCCTTTTCTCCACTTAATTTTTACATACATAGATAGATCTCATCAAGGGCTACAATTTGGCATTGGTTTTAACCCGAAATTCCGGCGACCGGAATTCCGGCGACCCCCACTGCCGATCCGCCGCCGTCACAGCCACCCCTCAACCGCCACTGCCTCCCGTTTCTCTCTCCACCTCGGCCTCAAGCGAGTTTCTGTTGTCGATTTTTATCGAAACTAGCATCCAATTCTCCGGAGTCATGGTTTCGATAATAATCAACATTGGACACTCGCTCGAGTCGTACCACTACCTATCGCCATTGCCCGGATACTCGAGTATACGGTAAAATCCTAGCTCCCCTTTTATTTTTCTAAATTTTTCTTCTGTAATTGGGTTTAGATTCAGTTTGAATCGTATGTTTCTTGTCGATAATGAATTGCTCGTTTTGATCCTTGTCGATTTGATAGATCAAGTTCATTTTTGCATAGTTGCTTGATTTTCTATTTGATTCAGCCATGAATCGTTCTGTGATCGCAAGATGAATCGGTTGTTTCCATACAGTTAGGTTCTGATTAGCGGCTATTAATAGTCATTTATTTAGTTGTTGTTAGTCGTTGACGAATAATTAACAGTTCTCGTTTAAAATCTGTTTCGAGCATTAGTTTGTGAATTCAGTTGTTTGTTCTATGTTTAGTTTGTACAAATCAATTTGTTTAATCTAATTAGTTTAAGTTTTTTCTGTTTCGTCAATCGTTAGTTGTGTGATTTGTTTTGGTTCAAAATCAATAGGGTGGTATTGATGTTGTTAAAATCTGAAATTGTTATGGGTTTGATCATGACTTAGGGTAGTGGTAGCTTACTTTTGATTAGTAGGGTGGCTGAAATGACCCTTTGGCTCCTGCCATAGCAGATTTCAGGCTGTCCTTTCACCTTTTGGACAGCCTTTAGCACACAAATTTAGAGGGGGGGAACATCAGGAAAAAGGGAATTAAAAGGAAAAATTTCAGCAATTATGTTCCTCTTGGAAATAATTTAGAAAAGTCTTTAGGTTCTCTTTTTGGATTTTCTTCGAATCTTTTCTCTTAAAGAGTTTCTGGGTTCAAGTGTTTTGAGTTTTCTGTTGTTTGTTGTACGTTGGCTGGTTGTTGCTGATTTACCATAGCTGAGTTTCCAAAGTTTTGTGCAACTTTGAGTTCACCATTGCTGCTTTTGCTTTGAATCTGCAATCTAGGTATATCCTTGACCTTGTAATTTAGAAACTTTATTGTAATGAATCATATTATGCAAATTTTTGGTCCAGTAAATGAAGCATGAAGTTTTAGAGTTTATTTGAGTGTTTCGGGCACTTTTAATATCTATCTCACGTTTACAAGTGTTTGATATGTCCATTGTGTTAGAATGGTATATTTATGTGTACATTTGTTCGTATTTTGGAGATTGTAGTACTCCAGTTGGTATAGTAATTGCTCGACAAGATTCTTTTTCCTGAAAGTTCTCACTGAAAGTATATGATTACATGAAAAAAATAAATGTGAACTTTTATTCTCAAGGATCCCTGTCTTTACTTTCTTTTTCTCTTTACTTCATGAAAAAAATAAATGTGCTTAATCCATTGAAAAGGATTTAAGTTCTAAGATAGTTTGTTGAGTGTTTAGATTAAGAAAAAATTAAAAAAAAATTCTCATGTCATGTCAAAGAGGTTGTGGTTATTTTATTTCTACCCATAATGTTTGAGTTTGAAGAAAAGTTCACCATGATGGTCATCAGTTGGGTCTAGCTTTAACTAGAAGATATCTACGAAATATCTCGCCATCGTTTTGTCGATAGTATTAGTTAACTCATGACATTTTATTTTAAACTTTATATTACTTAAATATTTATAAAAATAAAAAAATTTAAGAAAAGAGGCAACGATGGAAAATTATTTTGTTGCACTTTTGGAATGAAAGTGAGTTTTAAAGTGTTAATTGGGTAATTTTGGACCATATCATTAACTGAAGTTGGTTACGTTTTATTTTAATTCTTTTTGTTGTTGTTTTGTATTTTTTAAGATTGTCAAATCTTGAATTAATGGAATAATCTTTTAGTTTTAGTGATTGGGAGGTTTTGAGCTAATTGAGCTAAGTTAATGAGCTTGAACCCGCCAAGCCGAAAATAATGAGATAGTTGGCCCCGATTCTAAATGCAAGGCTTGTCTAATAAGTCTTACGAGATTAGATTCTTTTGTAATTAAAATAATTTAATAATAATTTAAACCCTAGACAATTAGTAGACGTGCTTTAGCTTTTCATTCACGGACTCGCTTGCGTAGCGTGATATTTAACATTCAATAATTTAATTCAATAATCTCATACCGTATCCGATAGCTTTAATTAATTTCTAATCCTTTTGCCATACTTGCGGATTCGCTTGCGTAGCGCAATTATGATAAATTAATAAATTTCGTCTCGATCGCACATTCACTTGCATAGTGTGATTACGACAATTTAATTTTTACTCAACACGTCTTTTAATAAATGCGAGCAATAAAAGCGGATAGGTAAAATAAGGCACAGTTTATCCTAAATTAATTCAAGTCAAGTTTAAGTCAGTAAAGCGACCGTGCTAGAACCACGGGACTTGGGGAATGCCTTGCACCTTCTCCCCGGTCAACAGAATTCCTTACCCGAACTTTGTTTTCGCGGATCGATAATAATAGAGTCAAACCTACCTTTGACTAGGGATTCAAATAAAAGGTGACTTGGAACACCGAAAAAATCAATTCCAAGCGGCGACTTTATAAATAAAATAATCCCTACTCAAATTTGTCACTTTAATTGGAAAAACTCTTTAACCCACAAATCCACCATAACACATATCCATATTCTTTTGGGGTAGAAAAAGGGGTGTGACAGCCGTTATAGCATCTACCCTTCAGGTGAGCACTCTGTCGTGAGCACTTTGCACGCACTGCGTGAACCTCCCCTGTGTAACCATACAGCAGATGTAAACTGCACTAGGCAAGCCCTGTGCGACTGGCTCATGCCAGAAGGTTGGGTCCGTTGTTGTTGTTGTATAGTGTATGGGTAGCTCTCTGCACAAGCACGTGAGCCAGATCAATATGTAAGATTCTGCTTTAGCCAATGCACGCCTTGTACCAGATAATTTTGTTTACTATCCACTCTTTTCTGATTAAATTCTCATGCTTAGTATGGTCCTCACGTGATTTTCTTCCATGTAAAGTAAAGATTCCCTGGCTGACTTCTCATTTCTTTTTTCAAGCTTTTTATTTGGACATGTTAATTTAAGGTTCATGAATTTCTAGATTTATTCCTCCTATATATATATATATATATATATATATATAGCAGTGGTCTTTACTCACTTCCTACCTTGAACTAAAGCAGCTTGTCATAGTGTTAGTGAGAGCTTAGACATCAAAGAAGCAGCTGAAATCAATTCAGAAATGGATCAGAGGAAAAATTATGGTTTTATGTTTGTGCTTCTCATGATTTTTGCCTTACGTAAGTGTTTTGGCGGTCGCTTTTTATTTACTTTGTTCTAAATCTATACTAGTCACGAATTTATCATACAAATCAATCAATCTAAATTAGTTGGGATCGGATATATGAACCCTATACATCCATTCCGCATTATTAGTACTAACTGTCAACTTACCTTAACTCGCTTTATTATTCGGGCGTAGAAGCATTTATGTTTGCAAAACTCACGTAGATGGAGTTGTGCTTATTTATCTCATGATCAACTATAGTTAAAAGTATTTTTGTTAATATATGCAGAAATGGAAATGATGGCACAAGTAGAAGCAAGAGTTTGCATGTCACCTAGCCATGGATATCATGGTCCCTGTTGGCATGATCACAACTGTGCTCTTGTTTGCAGAAATGAAGGCTTCTCTGGTGGTGACTGTGTTGGTATACAACGCAAATGCTATTGCACTAAGCTTTGTTAATTAATTTCTATCTCAATGGAACCACTAATTTCTATCTGTTTTTTCCTTTCCTTTTGAAAAATGGGCTTGCTTTCGTATCCTCAAATGTTCTCTTTGGAAGGATATTTATGATGCTTTTTTGTAGCCTTTCTTAATCATTCAATGAAGATTTTCAATTCATCTTTGCTGAATTTCATATCCAGATGTTGAATACTTGACTTGTTTACTCGCTCTGTTTATGGGATGGACTTTCAGCTTATAGCAATTCAGACAATTAAGAACAATTAAGAACATGTCTGAACATGCAGCTCCCCTTTTTGGATACACAAATCTACCTTTTCATACAAAACAAGAGTTCTTACTGTATTAAAGCAGTCAAATGAAAGTAGAATAAGTGTAATGCATATTCCAGTAGGAATGTGTGTCATTTCTGCATGACCGTATGGTCAAGCGAAGGAAGCCTTGGAGCAACGGTAAATTTGTTTCCGTGTGAGCTATAGGTCGCATTGGTGTCATTTCTGCATGACCGTATGGTCAAGCGAAGGCAGCCTTGGAGCAACGGTAAAGTTGTTTCCGTGTGAGCTATAGGTCACGGGTTCGAGCCGTGGAAGCAACCACTAATGTTTGCATTAGGGTAGGCTGCTACATCACACCTCTAGGGGTGCGACCCTTCCCCGGACCTTTTTTTTTGTATGGTCAAGTTATTCAGGAAGAAGAAATTCAGAAGCAACAGAAAATATATGTTCACATTTAAAAGGAAGTGTTAAAACTTAAAAAGTATGAGCATATGAGCTTGGTTCAAGATCTCTATAAATCCCTTTGGATGCCCTTCTACCAAATATGGACACTATATGACTCAACACCCTTCCTCATATTAACTCAAGTAAAATTTGGACATAAAATGCAAAAAATGGACTTGCCAACAGGTGATTTTGATGCAAAAGAATCTAAGGATCCAAAGCAAAATCTTAAATCAATGGATGAATTTGTCCAAAACCTTTATCAACACCTTAACCAGGCGATGTTAGAAAATATATGACTCAACAACAACAACAACATACCCAGTATATTTTCACTGGTGGGGTATGAGGAGGGTAGTGTGTATGTAGACCTTACCCCTACCTAGCGAAGGTAGAGAGGTTGCTTCCAATAGACCCTCGGCTCGGAAACTCAACAGAAATGATAAATGAAAATATTCTGCTATAGGTGGACCAGGGTTCTGCCTGCAGACGGTTCTACATTGTTATAAATTTAGAAAACAGGTTACAAATTGTGTTGCTACCAACTTCATACATGGTAAAAATGTTATCATAGAGTTGAACACAAAGTACATCATTCCCCCAATCAAGTAAGCAACTCGATGGAACTGAACAGAGATAAAGCGAAGCCCTTTCCTACAGGAAACTGTATCTTCTAGAAAACAAATGGAATCAGAGCCTTTACATTCTTAGGAAAATTTTCAAATTTGGAAAGGTACCATTTCCTAGTGACATAACTCCTTCCCATCAGATATAAAGCGCAACCCATAGCACAGCAAAACGAGAATGATGTCTGGGATATGAATGCAATCCCTAAAAAGCCAAGAATCTCGAAAAGATAATGAGGGCATATGACCAAACCAAAAAGGCCGCCTTGGGGAATTTTATAGCCCTTCTCTCTGTTGTCTCTGAGTTTGGAAAGGATGTAATGATGATAAAAGTTGCCACTGATTCCAACTATGAATATCAGTAAACCGATATACTTCAGATCGATTTCTGGCTCGGTATATCCTTCAATTAAGTGTTGGATATAGGTCATGACTGCAGCCAACATAAAATACGCGGATGAAATAATGAGCACTGAACCAAGAACCATCCCACCACTGTATTTGTGAACAAACAGAACCTGCAAAGTAGAAAATTATGGGAATAATGTATGAACATATGAAAGCAAAACAGTAAAATGTAAGCCACAGGAAAGTCTATTAGATTTCTGGTGAATGTGTTCAATATGGTTCTCCTCGTCAACAAAACAACCTGGGGCTAAAGTGCGATCCAATGCAGGTAGTGGTAATGGCACAACAAATGCTAATATATGACTTCCGTAATTGTTTTCCTATATCTATATTTGATGTAAAATTTCATATCGACTTCTGTCAGCATCAGATGAGTCAGGTGAGCTGGGAAACTAAAAGTAAATCTAAGCTATTAGTGAGAATTTTGTATATTGCCAGAGGATAGGATCATAGCTTGAATAGTGATTTCAAAGGTGAAGATAAAAAGAAGTTCTCCACGGTAGTTAAATAATTAATTAGCACTACCAATCAAATCTTTTACAATAATTTGGAATTATTACTACCCAAATCTGGAATTTTGCTCGCATAAATATATTACGAACTGTAGCTAGTGTATTTGATGGAGAGGATACACATGGCCTCTTTCCAGGCCACACAGTATAAGCAAGGAAAGATATTCAAAGCATCAGTATCCTGAGAGCTACATAAAACCACCAGGAAAGCCAGATTCAAAATATTTGTGCATTTAGAAGGAGAAGTTCCTCCTTCTCCCTATAACTTCAAATAGATTTTTAAATCAACAGACAATGGAAATCAAATTTCCAACAAGTCTCCGAGATTCAGTGGTTATCATGATAATTTAGTCCCCGTCTTACAGCAACGTCAATACTAGTTGGTTCAATCTATCAAGAGAAATCAGTTTGGTATTATATGCTAGTTGGTTCAATCTATCAGAGAAATCAGTTTGGTATTGCTTACTAAATTACTTTCTTACTTGAGATTAATACTTTGAGTTAATCGATCGTGCTGAAAATTGCACTGATTGGTATGAACTAGTGGAACGAAGTAGGAATCTTGTAAGCATTATAAAGGCTGATACTGCTAATTTTGGTGTATAATTATGCTTGGAGCAGCGTCAAAGAGCTCAACTGCTCAAGTGACATTTTTCCATAGACGGGGAAAAAGATCCAACATATTGATAAAGGATGATAGAATATCAGGGACGAAGTGAGAGAACCAAAATGGTACTCTAGATGTAAGGAATTGAAAGGCTACCCAACACGAGCTTCCTATACAAATGGCAATGAAGGTACAATAACAAAAGAAGATGCTCTGAGGTGGAAGGTTGTTAACGCTAAATTTGGCCAAAGACATCTGGTGGAAAACAGATATTTACGACTAACAGACTACGCCCTTGGAAACATAACCGGAACTTATAGGAAGAGTTTAAACTGTAAATAAAACACTTTTACTATAAAGTGGGAGGATGGAGGATAAAATTTTAGTAGGATAAATTGTTGGCTTAGGCACACTCCTCGAGACAGAGGCAGACCTAGGATTTGAAGGTCACCGGGGCACATGAGTGGACTGCTCAACCAGTGGCACCATCGACTTTTGATCTTAAGATTCCAAGCAAAATATATGATTGTTTTCAACATATATACACATGTCCAAAATTTTGGCCAAGATATACAATGACCCCTCTACTCCAAACGTAGGTCCGCCTCTGGAACCGCACAATCATTTCAGATTTACCTCATACCATGAAGCTACAACAGTCCAAATGCAAAGGAAATGATAGTGGGAAGTTTAGCTTCATAACATGTAAGCAAGATTGGAGGATTAAAACCTATAAGTTCTCTGTTGGGATAACTGGAGGGAAGGATTTCATGCCAAATGTTTTTCGTTGGTACATGGACAGTGTACAGTTCTTTCATACCATCAGCTGAAATACACCTACAACATAGTCAACTCTTCGAATCAAGTCTGATCTGTAACCTAGAAAATAGAGTAACGACATGCTATAATGTGTGAAGTCTTTAATCTATAACCCTACATAACTTAAATCCTTTTTCATTAATAGATTATAAAGAACATCAAAAGTAACCAAAAGAGCTAGGGATTAAAAGGGAGGAAAGATAGTCCAACAATAACATACTCAACGTAATCCTACAAGTGAGTCCGGTGCAGAGATACTATTTCCGATAGATCCTTGCCTCAGAAAAACATTTTTAAAAGAGGTTTGAAAAATATAAAAGTAAAAAGCTATAATAAAAATACTGAAGAAAAAGGTATTAGACAACAAAAATAATAAAGATAGGCATTACCCAAATAAACATTCACAAAAAGGAAGAAGAAAAAAGTTACCTCAAGATCCCTTTTCAAGAAATGGATAGTAACAGCAGATTTAAGCATCATAAACCTTATTCCACCATTTGGGTATAGCAGAAATGAAGCAAAACCCATAATACAAGCTGGGGTATACAGTATAAGCATCCCAATTCTGCTGGATAATTTGGTCTGCAGAAAATTACTAGAGGAAGCAGAATTGATATTCACATTCCAAAATTTGGAGTATTGGAGATGTTTGCCAATTATTTCAGAAATACCCAAGTAGGCTAGAAATGCAAAAGTCACCACAGTTATTGCTGTGATGATTGAAGATGGCTCTTCAAACAAAAAACTTTGAAACATTTTTTGTCTCAATATTCAAACTAGAGTAGACAACCTATGGTCGGCTATGTACAAATATGAAATGAATAGTCTTCTATACCAAATAAAGTTAGCAGCAGCTGAAAAAAGATTTTCCTTTTTTTACACTTCTATGTCATTTTCGAAGAATCAAGAAATTTGTCCTTTTTTTGTTGTCCAAATCGCCCTTGTACTAATTGAAATTGCTTAAATTTTGTCCTTAGTTGGATTTTTTTGATTTATTCACACCTTTGCCATTCAGCATAATAGTTTGTTTGGATAATTACTATGAATCGTTTCATAATGTATCGTATAGTATTGTATTGTATTATTTTAATGTATATAAACTTTGGATAGATTATATTGTTTGTCCTTATTTCATGATGTCTTGCACCAGCAATAAGAAGAATAACTTATAATATTATAAAGAAAAATAAGGTACAAGGTAATAATTATTATATAAAAAGGTAGGGTAAAGGATAGAATAGGATTATGTAAAAATAAAAAAAGACAAGATAAGAAGAAAAAAATAAGGTAACGACGCAACCACACCAAATTTGTCGTTCTATAAAGTGACACTTTTCGTCGTTACGTTACGACGGATTTAACGATACGATATAATAAAAATTAAGTAACAATCAAAACAAATATTTTATTTAAAGTAACAACGATACAATATAACAGGTAACAACCATCCAAACAACCTGTAACTTTTACCGTTGCTCGAAGAC